ATCTAAAGCATTAGGCACAAGCGATAGCAGGTATAAAACGGTGATCCCAAGTCTACAATCTGCAATCGATAAATTGTGATTGACGATCATATCTTACTAGTTCTACCACGCATCGTATTTTAAGGCGAAAACATTTTTGATCATAAACTTACGATCCGAGAAGAACCAATCGGCGGCAAAAGAAAGAAGCCCCTCTGGCGGTAAAGAATCATAGAGAACCATTACATCAGAATATGAYACACTGATTTGTGTCATAGAAAGCCAAACATGACAGCAGAAATTAACGACAATGACAGCAMCGGTTCGYCACCGGGAACCCCMACGGGTTGGATCGGCTGGAAGGAACGCGGGAAGCAGGCCTACCTCCGCGGCGATTTTRGCGTCGCACTGCAGGCCTACTCMCAGGCACTCCACCATCAGCAGCGTTCATCTGCCTCGCTCGGGGGTCCCTCCGTACTGGACCAGCAGCTCCTGTTGAGCAACATGGTTGCCTGTCGGCTGAAACTGGGGGGAGCCGCCCAAGCGGAAGCAGCGGTGGCCAACGCCAAAACCTGCATCGGACTCAATGACCGATGGGCCAAGGGCCATGTTCGCCTCGCCTCGGCCTACATTGCTCTCCGGAATTGCAGCGGAAGCGACGGCRTTGGAAGCAGCTACTCCAACGATGCCTGCAACTCCCTTCAACGGGCCCTGCAGCTGGATCCGGGGAACCCCACYGCCAGGGACATGCTCGTGCGGGAGTTGCGGTCCCGAGACCACGGCCGCCGAGGCAGCGGGGAHAACCACGGACAATGCAGCCAAGAACGTACGCCCCAACCCTCCGCGCCACCACAGCACATGGATGACAACTRCAGCAGCAGCCGTGGTACTACAAGAACTACCGGCGATAGCAGCAGCAACACAAACCATCGGAATCCAGGGGATCGACGTCCTCCTCAAGATTCTCGTTCTTCCAGCAATGGCAACGGCAATAGAAACCGCCACAACGCGGACAACGATATCGACGATGCTGGCAGCATRTCATGGAACGAACGCTTTCACTTTCAGTGCCAGAGAGCAAAATTCTGGTACTTGTCTCAGTCGGAAGATGTCCAATCACTCCTCAAAGTCGCTCTAGCTGTTGTGGTAAGTCCAACACCATCTAACGCATTAAAATGCAACGGAGTTCTCTACAAAGTGCGACACACCACAAAGGTTACCGACGAAAGCAACGAAAGACAAAAAGCTGCTGCTCTGATAAAAATTATATGAACAGTAGCTGCTGATTGGCGAAAATAGTGGTTCCGTGTCTTAAGAAATTGCTTGAATATCACCAACCGTTCAAAATGGTTCGTTTTTGTTCTTGATGTTGGTGCTCTATCTCACTCCATGTTTCCATTCGTCTCCGTATCGTGCTTAAACTCCCTCTTTCGCATTCCAATTCACCAGGTCCTGTATGTGGCCTTTGGAGGTCGCTTTGGCCTTGAGTACTTGTTCCAAAAGAGCAGCGGCAACAACAACATCAATCGAAGAGGTGGTGGTGGAGACGTATACGAGGAATTTTACCGATCCCGCAACAACRATCGCTACAACGATCACTACAACGATCGCGACAGCTACGGGGATCGCTATTCCTCGTATTACGGATCCAGCGGGGGCGGTTACGATCGCCACGGCTATGGTTCGTCGTCATCGTCATGGTCGTCGTGGTGGAGATCTGGCAGAGGRACCGGGTCGTCATCGTCGGTGTCCCCCGAGTGGAACTATTATTCCCGTACGCTGCTGGCGGTCGTGCTAACCTACGTTGCGCAGCGCTGGTTTGGAATCGGTCCCTACCAGGCCATGRTTTTGGTAAACCTGCTCCTCGGGAGACGGCGGGGCGGGGGAATGCACCATTTTCCAGGAGGGAGAAGAGGTGGATGGGGCGGGATGTTTGGTGGGAACCAGTTTCGGCACCGACCGGGAGGAATGTGGAGATGAGACGAGCTAATTTGCAGAGGATTTCGTTGTCTTCTGTTGCCTCGCGCGGTGCGCCTCGACACTGCATCTCTTCCCGTGGATTGCATCCAGAAATTTAAGACACACTAAGGAACACACCATATTTGTAGGGCACTAGATTCCCATCATGCACCGTCCGTTCGAACTCGTATAAAAACACAGCACGTGTAGAATACACTATAGCAGTGCAGACCACCACGCACGCCACGCTAGTCGCCCCCGATCTCTCGTTTCACCTCCGCCGCCGATGCCCTGAGCGCCGCAATGGCCACCGTGTTGGAGACGACGCCTTCCCTTCCGTCGCCGCCGCCCGGTGCCGGCAACCCGTTCGCGTGCCACGAAACACCGCCCGCGATCGTTCCCACGACCCGCTGGCTCAGGTCCATGTGTCGGTCTAGACGTGGATTGCGGGCTTGGTCCCGGTGGTCGTCGGCGTTGTTGCAGCCGGCGGCCTCCCGAAGGCGAAGGAAGTTCGAACGAACCCTGGTCTTGGCCTGTTCGAGGGTTTCCACCGCATCGAGAACGCTCCGCACCGATGATGCCGCTGCTCCTTTTGCTTCGGTGGCGTTGTAGAGCATCGTCTGGGCGTTGGCGTAGTCTTCTACGAAACCGCACTGCTCCTCCAGGAGCTCCAAAACAACRGCGGTGGTCTGGGCCGTAAGCGCCATGCTGCTTCTTGAAAAACTTCCGAGGTATCCGACCTGGGTTTTCTTGTTTCTATAACGTGCCGTTGTGGAGGTGATTTTTTAGGATGGATTTTTTAATGATGGATGGCGGGACACGATAGCATTTGACTGTACGGTACGGTACATCGTCGATAAAAAAGGTTAGAAGTATGTTTATTAGGCGTACGTACTCGTAGTATGTACTCTCAAATTGTACTGTACGTACAGTATGATTGTAGTATGGATATTCGGGAATTTTGGCATCAGTGGTAGATAGGCTTGCTCGCGACCGCAGGTAGGCAACATATTTTTAAAAATACGAGCGAACAAATAAAGACGAAGCAAAACCCCATGGAGTTACTAGTAAGGTAAAAAAAGCAGTCAGAGAAATCAACCATGAATTAGTTACCGTACCTTGATGATATTCGACATTCGTGCTCTTACTCGTACTCGTACGAAAATAGAATTTCTCGATCCATCGAACGTTCGTAGTCAACCCGTTGCTTCATCAAAGTGTCAGCTTTTCGCACGAAATTAGTAATAAGATAGCTGCCCGGGAAGTGCTTCGCAGACGAAGAATAACATGGAAGAAGAAAAAACAACGTCGCCATCCCTGCAGCAAGCGGAGAACGAGTCCGCAGGCGAATTGGAACAGCAGGCGTCGGTTGTGGAAATGCAGGACAACACCTATGATAASGACAGTGAAAAGAGCAATCTGATTGTTGCCCATGGGGAAGGGAGAAAAGAAGAAACTAGCGAAACAGCAATAGAACCAGAACCAGATACAAGAGCAGAACTAGGAAAAAACACGGCAACAGAAAGCGGGACTGCAGCAGAGGCTTCTAGGTCTCTCCAGTCCTCGTCATTGTCCTCATCGTCGTTGCTGTCGGACCAAGACCTCGCCGTTTTTGGAACACTGAACACCCAGCTGGCGGACGCCCTTGCCGAAAAGATCGAAGCCGCCATTTCGAAGGGAGTGGATTCCCTTCCGTTGCTGGACGGCGACTGCTACCGGTCCGGAACTGCCAGACAAAGCACCGGAAGCGACGGTGGCAACGGCAGCGGGCACCCMAAATCCCCCAAGGAGCGATTGTGGGAGACCCTTCGGTACAGATTCGTGCGCAACGTGGACGTACTGGAAGCCTATTGTGCCCAGCACCTCCTGACGCTGAGAAAGCATCCACCGGCGAGGCGCAAACGGATCGTAGCCGTTCTGCGGTACGGGCCGGGGGCACTCGAGCCCCTGTCGGAAGCCGYGGCGTCGGAGGATCTTCCGCAAGAAAAGTACCCGTCCCTCTCCGAGCTTTCTAGCGAAGAAGAGCGAACGAAGGTCTCCGGCGACATTGCCCGCCTCGAGGCCGACATCGAGAAGGYACGCAGCCGGCGAAACGAGCTCCTGGCGGCCCTCGAGTCGACAAGGCGCGCCGGAGACCRCCTGGCGGGGGTGRCCGAAACCATCYCGGGGGCCTCCCTTGCCTCCGTGAAGCAAGAGGTTTCCGGTCTGGTCGAAGGGGGCCGCGCCCTGGGGCCATTGAACGACGAAGCCAGGGATCTCCTYGGAACACTCGAGGGTATCAAGCGGGACCGCAGCAGCCAAGAGACAAACGACAGCGGCGACGAAACCTTTGACTTTGAGCAGCAGGACGATCCACTGTCTCGCGGGGCCCTGGTCCAAAAACGACGAAAGGCCCTGGCGCCCRTGGAGGCCTACCGTCGCGACAAGCGGGAGCTCGGCCTCCTCACGGACTCCACCAATACCGGAAGCAACACGGGTRTCGATGACGGYAGCGCCGGTATCAACCTCCTAAAGAGCGTTCGAGACAGGCTGGTGGCCTCCCGGCCGTTGCCGACAAAACCCTCGTGATGCATGCCAAACTAGTTTGCACTGTATGCAGTATTTAGGGGCAACACTGCACTGCACTGCAACGAAAAACCATTTATAAATTTTGTTACGGCCGGTCCAACCAAATGGGAAGTCTTTCGGTGATTTGTGTGGGTCGTTTCTGCTGCGTCTTGGGTGCTCTAGACCACGACGCTGCGAGATAATCAGTCAGTTTATTCTATGGTTTGCTATTGTTTAGTTTCGGCATTCCCGCTTTTGCTTAGACGGTTAGGATTGTTGCTGGTAGGCWTGCTGCAAACATCGTGCTCCTGCCCTCGGGTTTGTCGGCGTTCGCTCTTCTCTTGCGATCCTTCCATTCGCCCTCGCCTTGCTCGGCGCCCCGTCACCTTCCCCCTTGCTGYTTCTGTTTCAGAGCCTCGAGGTAGGCCCCGATCTTGCGCTGGACGGGGTCGGAGGAGACGAACCGGCAAAAGTGCTCCGTGTCYTCCTCGCGGTTTGCCAGGAGGTCTTCCACCAGCGGCGTTCGGGTCAGCTCCTTGACCGCGGCCCGGGCCCCTTGCGGGATCGCAACCAGCTCCCGGGCCTTGGCTAGGGCGGCCTCCTCCGGGGCGGYCCCCCAATCGCTCTCGCCGCTTCCTCCGGGAGGAAGGGGGGGGACCAGCTCGTCGACCAGGCCGTGGTCCAGGGCGGCGTTGGGGGGGAAGAGGGTGCCCTCCAGCAGGGCGAGCTCCCCCCTCCGGTGCCCCAGGACGTCCGTGTACTGCTTCGCCATCCAGGGGGGGGCGACGATGCCCAGCCTGGACTCGTTGAGGCCAATGGCCGGTGGCCTCCCGGGAGCCGCCCCCTCCGAGACCATGACCCGGTAGTCGCACGAGAGGGCCAGCATGCAGCCGGCTGCGGGGGCGTGTCCCCCCAGGGCGGCGACGATCGACAGGTCGGTCCGGCCGTAGACGTCCAGAAAGAGCTGCTGGACGTGCCACCAAAAGGAGGGCAGCCGGGCCGGATCGGGCTCGTAGAGCTCCCCCGCAATGTCGAGGCCGGCCGAAAAGATGCCCCTGACCGACGAGGCCAGGACCACCGCGGTGGTGGTCTTGCCGGCGGCCGGTCGGCCGGGGGAGGCCTTCCCTATGGCTCGCAGGGCCTCCGAGAGCTCGGCGCACAGCTCCAGCGACAGGGCGTTTGCCGGCCCCCGGTTCATCCGAACCACGGCGATGGCCCCGTTTTCCCCCGGCGGGTATTCGGTGGTGACCCACGTAGCGGGAGGCGGAGGCGGAGCCTTCGCCGTGGAACCGGACTGCGAACGGGGGAGCGGGCCCGAGAGAAAAAGGGGGAGGCACCGGCGGCAGCGCAGGGCGGCGCCCCTCCCCGCGAGAGAAGCAATCATTTGGTTCGGTTTGGTTGGGTTGGGTTTGGTTCGGTTCAGAACAACGGGTGAGGTGCCCGGGAGGTTTGCTCGCTCGCTTGCCGGGAAGGGTTCGGTGCGGGATATGGATCGGATCGGATCGGATCGGATCGGAGGCTGCCGTCGATTGTCGCCTGCCGCACTGTCTATCCGCTACTGGTAGCGATGCTTTTCTGGGTCGTGCTTCTGAGATTTCGTGCTACGGTATAGCGGGGTTGGGTTTGTTGTCGTTTGGGTTGAACTGGATTGTGTTGGGTTAGAGCGGATTTGATTGAAATTCATTTTATYGCACTGCATTGCATTGTATTGCGTCGCATCGCATCTCCTTGGATTGCGTTCTGTTTTTCGTTTGGGAAAGAAACGAGCGTCATTGACACGATGAGTGTCAAGACATGCTTCWAACAGAGAACGAACAACAGTCCGGGCTTAAATCGAATGAGGACGTGACCGCTGCAAACCTTGTACGAAATTCTACTGTACAATGTCTACGGAGCTCTACGAAACGAAAAATGGCCTTATCATTTTTACTAGTACTAGTAGTACTGCAGTTTTTATTAGTAGTAAAACTATCCACAACTTTCAAGCAGTAATAAAAAAACTTCATAAAAATACTAGTAATAGCATTGCTGAAGATACAGTCTAGACTAGCTGTTATAAAGTTCTGGATTTATACAATTTTGTCGAGTATCAAATAATAATGGATATTTGGTATACTTTTTTACTAGTACTAGTAGTACGTAGTATATTTTAAAGGAAGAAGCAGTACTAGTACTACTACAACAAATACTTCCTCGTTCTACTCCCACCACTGCACCAGTACAACTTTAATAGTACTCCAGCACTAATAGTGGTGGTATTTTCAATTGGGTAGTAACGCTCGCCATGAACCAAGTACCACCGGATTGCATCGTGCTTTCGAAATTTTCGCACATTGGATCAATCATGCAATTCCTCAAAGACACGTTGTCCGTGATAAAGTTATTTTGTTCGACTGAGCACGATGGAATTAGGTTGAACAGACTAATAGCAATTTGTTCCAAGTTGCCAGAGACGCTGCATATTTCGTTTTTTTGCTTCCCGACGAGGACGGCCTGTTCCTAAATTATTATGGCATTCGCTGTTGCTACTGTAGTTGATGCTGCTGGTATTCTTGCTAGTGCTTGTTGTTTCAACGCTGCCTCTGTTTCATGATTTCCATGCTGCTGCTACGAAGGATGCAAGGGAGGCGAACCCGCCGCATCCGTGGTACTGGCATGCTTGAGTCTTGTTCATTGTGTTTGCGAGCAAAAAAAGTCGTGCGAGAGGGCCTCTTGGATGCTCACTCGCTTGTGGGGATCCAGCACGAGGCATTTCGAGAGCAGATCAGCGAACCGGACAACCTCCGTTCGGGAATCCTTGGAACTCTTGGCCTTGAGAAGCTTGGACTGGAGGGTTGGCTTGAAGGTGTGGACCAGCGATAGCTCCTTGTGAACGGCCTGTCCCAGGACCGGATCTGGTGGGGTTTTGGAATGGCGCGGAAATTTTGGATTTCGATGAATTCAATTGATCATGTTCAGCAAAATAGAACAATCAAAGATCGATAGAGCGAGAAGAAACCCATGTACGCAGGTAGAAATGAGCATGGTGTCGTTTTTCGAGAAATGCCATGGTATAGACAAAGAAGAGGGAGAGAGAGAGACAGAAAGAAAGACGGGAGGACCGTAAGAAGCACCAAATCAGAGAATGGGTGCGAGACGAACATTTCTTGCCGGGTGGCGCACCGCGGTGCAACTCTCGGCGCAACAACCCTGGATGCCCCGTGGATTCATGCATCGCGTGCCGCTAGCTTTCCCTGCGCAGGAAAAAAAACTCACCGACGGTCTCCTGCCGAAAGACGTAGTTGGATTGAACCTGTGAGAAGTGTGCCGGCAGGGGATGTTTTTTGGTTTGCAGCAAATGGCTCTTGATCATGCGGCCCGAGAAGGGTCCCTGTCGTCATCGGGAAATGAATCGGCGGCACGGAAGGGAACAATTGTTGGCGCAACCAGTGAGCTAGGTGTGGAAAAACAAACGCAACGGAGCCAAAAAAAGRAAAAAAAAMAACAACAAACGACCAACTTCCAGCCACTGGCATTTGCATCACCACCAAAATATCTCGCTCACCAGCAGTTTCATCATCGAATGGAGCATGTCGTTGTTGTTGGCACCCTTGAGGAGGACGACCCCCAGGAAGAGTTCTCCCATCGTCACGGCGAGGCTCCAGAGATCGACGGCATGCGTGAGGGGCTGAAGGCCCAGCATGATCTCGGGGGCCCGGTAAAACCGCGACACCAGGTAGGGCGCGAGGACCTCGTAGGTCCCGGCCACGCCGGCACCCGTGCCCGMKGCAGCGTCCTCGGCGGCGTGGACGGGGGTCGTTTCGAGGGCGCTCCCGAAATCGGCCAGGAGGACCCTCGAAAAGCCCCCCTCCACCAGGATGTTGTCCGGCTTGAGATCGGCGTGGAGGATCCGGTGGTCCTCGAGGTGKCCGAGCGCCTCCAGGAGCTGCCGGAAGTAGTTCTTGACGGCCCCCAGTGCCAGCCCCACGCCCTTGCCGAATTTTTGCAGGACGTCCCGCAGGTTGTAGGGCAGGTAGGGGAAGACCAGGAGCGTGTGGCCCTTGAACTCWATGGGCCGGAGCGCCGCCCCGGGGAGCTGGTGGCGATCGGGATGGTTGTGGTTTCCCGCGGCGGGCAGCAGCAGGGGGACAATGCCGGGGCTGCCCCTGAGCCKGACCAGGAATTTCGTCTCGTCGAGGGCCGCCTTGGCCATGGTTTCGTTGCTCCGGATGCACTTTATCGCGACCTCCGTGGGCAGCGACGGTGCGCTCGCGCTCGCGTTGCACGAGCACTTGAGGACGGACGAAAAGACGCCCTTCCCAATGACCCCGAGGACGCGGAACTGAAGAGTTTTCGACGAGGCCGCGCCGTCGTTTTCGTTTTCGTCGCCAGAGACGTCGACGTCGACATCGACCTCCATCGTTTCCCCTATCGATGCCTTGTAATACCCCTCGGAATCGTCAAAGCCGTCCAGTCGGTTTGCCGTGCTGGCAGAAGCGGCTTCGTCGGCGGCTTTCGCTGGTTTGGCCTTCTTTTTGCGTGGCTTGGTGCCGCTGCCGTCGCTGTCCTCGGACGAGGAAGTCCCACCGAACATGTCCGACCCATCCGTCTCTTCTCCGCTGGTGCTTTCCTCGCCGCCATCCCCGTTGGCTTTGTTGTTCTCGGGTTTCTCCTGGTTCCCCGCCCCGCCGCCGGTCCCGGAACCGTCGTCGATCTTCGCGGCGGTGTCTGTTTCCCCCGCCTGCCGCTCGTTCGTGACGGAAGCGGCGTGGCGTTCCAGCCGCTCCGCCCGCTTGCGCTTGCGTTCCAGGGCGGCCTCTCGCTCCGCGGTGGGGTTTCCGAGGGACAGGAGGTCGTCCCCAAAGTCGATGTCGATGTCGCCGTCGTCGCTGCCGCCGGCAACCGTCTCGGCCTTCGCCACCCGGACCATCTCTTCTCCTTTTCGGATCAACAAACCAATCGATCGCTGACTTTTGTCTTGTTTGGGACGGTGTGCTGCGCTGCGGTGATCGGTGCGAGTGGTTCGGATTGAGAGTATTGAGAGTTCTAGTGATGGTCTTCTTCGCTGCCTAGTAGTTGTTGCGTGTGGTAGTTCTCCACACAATACATAATATTAGTTAGTACTCGTACCATTGTGATCAGTACGGTACGGTTATCCGGGTATGAGTACTACTAGTTCAAACGTACGTACTCTTACAGGCTGGAAAGGATTGCGTTATTTCTTCTTGTCGCCCAGAAACATTGCATTGGAACAGGATGTGATCCTAAATCACGAGTAAATAGTGAATAAGGTCACTCTTCAATCATGCACAGGAACCGTAAAATCAAAAATGAAAAATCATCAATCCATCAGGACGAAAACCTCTCGCAGTAAAATTGTCCTAGTACCAACCTACGTACCGTACCGTACGGGACACTCCATTCGCTCGCTTGGCTTCGGAAACAATTTTTTTTCTAGAAAGGTCGGAACAGTCCTGCGTTTTTTGTTTGCGCATCCGTGAAAAGAATTCCAACCAACCCAACTAGACCGGTTGGTTTCATTTGAGAGTTTGAATACCTGCAATYTATCAGTCGTTGCAAAGCAAGGAAAAAATAAAAGGCAACCGTGCAGCAGTGCGGTTGTGTTGTATTGGTTGCTTTTGTTCTGAATCGAGTGGAACAGACCTAGCAAGAAACATATCACAGGGCTTCCGTCGCTTCCTCTTGTCACCCCGATCGATCGGTCTCGGCAAGTCGACTAGAACGGCGGCGKGGCTCCGGTCTCCCCACCACTCCTTCCGCRAATCCCCGGGATCCCCACTCCCCGGTAGAGGGACCTGGGGTTGTACGGAACGCACGTGGCCCGCATCGCCCCAGCCGCCAGGCGGAACAGGAGGAATGCAAGAGCACCCTGCTCCGGAACCGTTTCTTCCGTCCTGTTCCGCCCCGTCCCGCCCCGCACACCCGCCCCAACGGGGTGCTCGACCGGACATGGTTCTGTGGCCGTGCCGTGCAGTGACCAAAGCCATGCGCATAGACATCGACGGCCGTGGCGTCGTCGCCGACGACGATGGTGGGAAACCTTTTGGGAGAACGACGGGGTTCCGTGGGCTTGCCGGGGTAGTAGATTGGTTCGGGGTGTAGCGGGCTGGGTTGGAATGCGTTGGAGCAAAGAATGTGCCGATTTTTTCCGCTCGACAACCAAGCCCTCGTTCGTGGACAAACCAGGACGGYGAGCAAGCCCCCCAGAACGAAAACACCATCGAATGCCGTTCCGTGGCTTTGTTTTGTAGCTTACTGTTCCAGAAGGGATGGTGTACTAGTATTTATGTGAACAAACTCGTGCCGTACTGGCCGAACAGATCCACAGAAAGTAATGACAGAGGTGTCTGTTTCTCGGATTTTTTGGGGAAGGATTCTTCGTCGAAATGTTCTTACGGTACTCTCGTATTTGGAAGTTGGTTTCATGTGCTACGGTTATCATGCGGTTAATAATCTGACACTATCACAATCAACATGCCAGTCATTAAAGGGGCACGGGTACGATTCTGCTATGTTCTTCAAAAATCAATCTTAGTAGACGGAGTAGAAAAATTCGTCGAGAAGTGTTCAAGGATTTAGATTTCAAAAATAATCTTGAATTTACTAGGAGTTGGTTGACTGGCTCGGCATCGGTCGGAAACAGAAAATTCTCTAAACCGAAATGGTTGTCTCGAGCTGCATCAGCACCGAAGCAGTGAGAGATTTTTACGCGCGCAATTTCTTTTATTTAGAACTCTTGGTTCGACGAAAAATGTTCAGAATTTTCTTAACAGTCGATCAACGGTTGTCTTTGAATAATGATCATGGAGTAGTTTCGTGGGTATTCATTCAAATACCGGAAGACAWTAGAAAATACGAAGCACAGAAAAGAAAATTAAAATAGTGTATCCTACCTGTCCTACCGGTAACGTGCGTACACGTGCGTAGATGATTTTGAATGGCGACCAACAGAAACTGGTGYATTCGGTTATGGTTTCGCGACTCTGCAATTTTCACTCGTTCTTTGAAAATCGGGGCATGAACCTGGGACATCAACTTTTTCTTGCCAAGACCAGCGATGATAAGTCGCAAGCTTCCCGCATCTTCTAGTACATGAAATGGATTCGAATATGAAGTTCTCTGAGTTAGAAATGTATTTGTTTCCGGACAATGTGTGCAATTTAAACTTGTGGCAGGGAGTGACACTCGATGAAGATCGCGAGTCTTTGGGCCGAGAGTTCGACGGACGGGATGCGAGCGAACACGTGCAAGAAAACCAGGTTCGAGAAAATCCTCCCTCTCCCGCAGTCGAACCGAAACGGGTCCGGTTCGCTATCGACGATGGACCATTGATCGAAAAAAGAAAGAAACGAAGCCTTCGTGAGACCATCATCCTAAAATCTACGGAACAACAGCAACAACATGGTGACAACAGCACTATCCKYATGCGCGGCAGAAATTCAAGTGCGATACATAACGACAAGAGCAATCGACGCTATCGGAAGAGCAGTCGGCGCCGTAGAAGAACCCGTTGGTGAAGGAAAGATTTGCATTAATTAACGACAGAAAACACACCGCAAACAATCGACATTCATACATGATGGCATAGAATTCACACTTGACACGAACAGTGTGGCAATGCTGATGCAATTGAAGATGCCAAACGCCCCACTTTGAAAATTCGTTCTAAAATCACTTGAATCCGCGGCCTTGTCATTCGGTACGATTCTAAATTTCAAAGAGCATAAAATACGAATAGAATACGCTATGCATTGAATTGCACAATTTAACAAYTGCATCTCAAAAGACTGATCCAACCATTATGATTCAAAATCTCTGCTCCGTCGAGGTGAGAATTGTTCCTCCACTAGAGGAGATGGTCATCGTGTTTCTCTTTGCACGCACACCATTTAGGAATAAATTCTCTGATGGCGTCGATAATTATCGTCGGGTCAACGCAGAAGTTCTTTCTGCGAGCTTGCCGTCTTTCATCAAGTTCGGTTGCGAWAACACGCTGAAGCATATTCGATGATTCACTTGCCAGCATATTATCTCCATCGGAACTACGGTTAACATATGCAGTAAAACTGGGGGCCTCACTTGCACTCAATATTTCTTCATCGGAACTCTGAGAAAAGTACACGTACGAGTATTCTATACCTGAATCTCGGGCAAGTGTTCCGAAGTAGTATGGTATCAAATAGTTGTGGGGAAAAAATTCAATCAAGTGTGTGCAATGTTTGTTTGCCATGAACGGGACTCCTGTTAACTGCGCCCCGTGTGGAGAAATCAACAGATCGATGCCATGAAAAAACCGAACTTGTGCCTCGAAGTCTTCCCCTTCAAAATACTGCACAGAAACAGATTGTTGCGATGAAAGTGATATTGTTGAGAACTGGCTTTGATTACCTCCTATATCCGCCCCAATTATTTCGTCTACCAGATGCTCAGGATTCAAAATTGAGCGTGTTCGTTTTCGGTTCAAAATTCCAATTCTGGGAGAAGGACATGATGTTGGGTTGGAATTTGCGCTTTTTTCCGACATCTCWCTATCAATTGCAAAATGGTGATCGACCAATTCATTCAATTTATCAACGTGGGATACAACGAAGCCAGAGGTACTGTTCATTTCAACAGACTGAAAATCAACTTTGCTAACAGTTCCATCGGTGTTATCTTTGCCACCATTGACTGTCGTCGAGTTCCCTTTGAAGAATGTTGAATTATGGTTTGTCTTCGTCATATTTGTTTTCAACCATTCCTGAATTKCGTCGCCATCAAGAATTTCGACGTTCATCTGAGATAGGATGGATTCCAAGAAGCCATTCACGAACGGATTATCCTGAAAYAAATCCACCACAATATTTTTGTCATACGGATGTAGTATCGGAATTCGGCCGGGGTTGTCTTGCCAGTATGTGTAACATTTGTAGAGCTCTTGCATGACATGTGGGAAGTGGGGCATTGTTTCATGAAATTCGCACACGGCGAGTGSAGTCTCATAATGACCATTAGTCGTTTGTAATTCGGAGAGGTTCTTGTAGAACGCGTAGTTTCGAAATGATTCAATCTTTTTGATGGGTTTGGCAGGCGAARGATCACAGWTCTCTTCGATGAATTTTGTGGTGGGTTTGAAGTCGAGTGCATTCTTGTCGAATAGAAACTGGGGTTSAATTGTCTTTCGGATCGACAAGGCAGAAAAAAGAATCCGCGCCAAGGCAAGCACAAGAATCAAAGCGAGCAGAACACATCTTTTGTGTTGCTGCATGTTYTTTTTCGAATCGAGTAGAAGTAAAAGTCTCAAAGTGGTTCCGCGTGATCAGTATGATCGCTCGCCACYTCATGTGGCGCAAATCGTTGCTCTCCTTGGTGTGTTCTAGAGATCCACTGTCTCTAGCGTCGAAGGGGAAACCACATCATTGCCACAATCATAACCTGCGAAATGTATGTGTGCTATTGCCGTAACGGTATAAGTACGTGCACTACGAGTACGAGTGCTCACTCGTGATTTACGTGAATTACGCTTGTTAGGATCACAAACACAACCTTTAAAAGCCCCTTGGTGCAGTGATCGAAACTGTCATTGGTAAGAGGACTCCTAATGTCAAGCGCACTAAAGTCAAGTAACCCCACGCTATTGATTCGGGTTACGGTGTGAGCCGGACATTTCACGGTACTCAAAGATCATCTGACGTGGTATTCGATGTTGGTGTTGGAAAGCCTGCTAAGTAGGCGCGAGCATGAATTGAGCAGAGGAACTTCCAGAAAGATGCCTCTTAGGTTCTCGCGTTATCAATGTAGGATCAGCATTCGCTTGGTGAGACCCATGCTCGTTGAGACGTWCATTTCGCAGTAACAAGAACTTCCAAAAAATAGAACGAAGTTTTTTTTGTTCGCTTTTCTTTCGCTCTTKCACAAATWAAAAAAAATGTGCAATCTGTCATTTGCAGGTGTTGGGTGATTCCGCTAGCGATTTGAATTTGAGTTCAGGATGGAAGGTGTTGTTCGAGGTCCACGACGACAATCCGAAATAATTACTGAGGTGTATGGCTCATCCACTCGTGTRTCGAATGTGGCGGGGACAAGGCTGTCCCTCATCAGCAAAGCGGACTGGGATCACCCCGGGTCTTTCGATGACGGAAACATGTTCGCATCCGAAACCACCAACCTACTGGGAAAGGTTGAATCGCCCTCCAGCATAGTACTAGATGCCACAGCAAATAAYAAGGATGGAATTTCGTTTTTGGCCGAGGTTCCCGCGATCATCGTTACTCTYATGATAAACTTTATGACCGCCATCCCRTTTGGGGTTGCATACTTTCCCTTGGGATGGGCTGGCGATGGCAGCGAAGCGGTAGAGAACGATGACAGCACCGGAGCTGTCTCCGGGCCCTTTCCTTTGCCAGGAAAGGAAATCCTGGGTATTCGCATGTTCCTATTTGCTTCCATTACAGGACAGATCGTGATGGCGTTAGCCTCGAAATTTGGTAGTCCGGTCTCGGTCCAGCTCATCGAAAACGTTCCCTTCTACCACGCACTTGCTAGCATCGTTATTGCCGAGCAGGGCTATGGGATAGAAGCTCTATCTACCCTCTTTTTTCTCTTTGGATTGGGTTCCATAGTGACGGGCCTTATGTTTTATGGTTTGGGAAAGGCCGGTTTGGGAAAGGTCGTCTACTATTTTCCTAGTCACGTCTTGGTTGGATTCATAGGGGGGATCGGTGTGTTCATTGTGATTTCGTCSATCGGTGTCATGACCGGCAAGGACTTTGAGTTCACAACTGAGGGTTTYCAGGATCTGGCGGCAAACTTTTGGATGTTTGCCCCCGCCCTTGCTTTCGAGATTGTGCTAAGGATTCTCATGGTTCTCCTCAGGAATGAAGACGGAAAGCCGAAGTTCCAATTATTGGCACCCCTTTACTTTATTTCCATTGTTCCGATGTTCTATGTCGCCCTCATCACCTTTGGAATTAGCATGGACGAAGCGACAGATTGGGAAMTGTTTTTCCCCGCCGCCTCAACGCCGGAACCTAGCGAAGTTGGGTATGTCTCTTCGTTTTCGGAACGCATACTTGATAGGCACACCCTCGACATGTTTCGTGTCATCCATTTCAACACCGTGTCTTGGACAGCAGTTCGAAAAAGTCTGGCCACAATTGTTGGGATGGGCTTCTTCTCTGTCATTAATGCACCAATCAACATCCCAGCCTTTGCAAACACCTGCGGCGCGGATGTCGACATGAACAACGAGCTCATAGCTCACGGCTACTCAAACATCCTGGCAGGTTTTTTTGGAGGAATCCAAAATGTAATGACGTATTCTATTTCGGTCCTCTTTTACAAGTCGGGAGGAAGAAGCAAGGCGGCCCAGCTGGTATTGGTAGTCGGCATGATAATAATATTTGTCTTCGGGCTTTCGACCATGCCCTACATTCCCAAATGCATGGCTGGGACACTCTTGTTGCATATTGGTGTGGATCTATTCATGGAGGGCGTGTACGATTCCTTCGGAGATTACGACAAATATGAATACGGAGGAGTAAGTGCTGCGACATAATRCAATGAACGAAAATGAATGAATCACATACGGCATTTGTTTAGGTTACCGCGATTTGTTTTGATCTTGCGACTTATATTTATMAATTATTCTCGTATTTGGACAGGTATGGGTAATTACTGCTGTCATGACGTTCATGGGGATGACACCGGCATTGCTGACCGGAATTATTGTCGCCTTGGCGACCTATGCCCTGCAATCGGTCCAGTACTTGGATCCCATCTTCAAAATAACAAATGCGTCGACGCTTAAAAGCAGCGCCTGGACGAGACCACCCGAAGCACTTGCGGTTCTTGATTCTATCTCAACAGGTCGATCGAGAATTATGGTCATTCAATTGCAGGGCAACCTGTTTTTTGGGAACGTTGTCGACATGGGAGATACTATCAAGGATGCTCTGGCCAGACAAAAGCCCATTATTGTAATGATCGACTTTACCCTCGTGGTAAGTATGGATTCGAGTGCTGCACAAGCTGTGAACAAGCTAAAGAACACAATGCACAAAAACTTCAATGTACAGACGAATATTTTTGTCATGGGCCAACACAGGGATTATTTTCCTTGTGAATATGGCCTATCGACGGCCATACTGGAAGAGGGACTGGACGAAGAAGCGGCARATGTCCTGGAGCTCATCCCTCGGAACCAGATTTGTAAGGATTTCGACGAAGGCCTCATCTTTGCGGAGGACATTTTGATCACTCGTGAAGATCCCACGATGCTCAAGAGAGATAACCTYATTAAACATTCTCTAGAGCTCAAAGGTGACAGTCTCACGGAAGAGGAAGAGAATAATTTGGCTGTCCACTATCTTCGAAATCTCATCAAGCCCGGCCCCTCTTGTGACGAGAAGCGCGACGCCATCACGTTTCTCTCGTACTTTCAGCGAGAAGTCTACAAAAAAGGCGAGGCCGTTTGGAAACAAGGAGATAAAAGCGACAGTGCMAAGCTCGTCCTTTCTGGAAATCTCGTGGCATCTATTCCAGCCTCGGACGTGAGGGAGGAAATCCCTCGTGGCGTTGTGATTGGAGAACTTGGCCTCATCGATGGAGTAACAGACCGCCTCAGCACCGTGCTGTGCGAATCCGATCGAGCCGTCATCTATAGCTTGGAGAAAATGGCATGGGAGAAGCTCATCCAAGAGGATCCGGCTGTCGCACGAGTCCTCGATCAAATTGCGATCCGCTACCTTTCTCACAGGGTGCAGCGCGTTAGCAATCGGATTGTTTCCACGAATTGCTTGCCCGTCTAGCGAGCATTGCGTTGTTCTAATGTTGWCCTTATTTCCGTATTTCGAAAGAAGCAGAATCATCATGGATGAAAAACTTGGTGAACAGTGCACGACCAGTGTCGTTTGATGCGACGGCAAACGGATCATATGAGAATATTTCATGGTACGAAGATCTTCTTTCATCAAATTTCATTCGGTACGATAGAAGAATGCTTTCGTTACTGTGATTTCTTTTTGAAAATGATAGTCCGCTCTCGRTTATTTCTTTTGTGGAAATGCTTGTCTCAGACAAACGCCGCTAAACTTATGGTAGAATTTTKGCTTATCACATGCACAACAACTACTAGCTGCGTCACAAAAAGCATCTCCACCTTCATGTTGATTTAGTGACAAGAGTACCACTTTGAAGGAGTTCTGCTGTTTTTATCAATATGCATTACTTCTATCATTTCACCTCCATTACGGAGTACTCGTACTGTTGTATTACTATATTACTTTCAGTAATATCGACATTAGTACTGGTGCTGCTAGTACTGTACTACTAGATAGTAATATCGTAGTAATACTACTAGTACTAGTATTAGTTTGGAAAGTGAGAATTGGGCCAGAGTTCATCTTTCAACCAGCACGTCGACGGTGCACTATTCTACTACTTCTAGTAGTAGCTCATACTACTACTAGTACTACTACTACTAGTAGTAAATTCTTGTAATATTTGAATTACTTTTGACTTCACGACTTTTCAATAGTGTACTTCTTGTATATATTGTCCTTATGCATACTACGGTATGATTGTAGAGATGGGCACGCGCGCGCATCATAATTTTAAACGTTCTCGATCGCAGTAATGACTGCGATTTGAATTTCGTGAAGATTGTGTCTAGTCCGATCGCCACGAATAACGAAAACAACTCCATTGGATTGAAAATCMAATAAACAWTTTGGTGAAGGACTGAGGACTCTGAAGCATACCGWTACAATAGCCAAACATCGACGATCCTCTTTTGCTGAGAGATACCAATTGGAAACAGAGACGCATATACAGAGAAGATAATGATCGATTTTCCATATACTGTTGACGATGGTGAGTAACACGACACAAGGAACGCCTGACTATTTATTGCTTTGKTTGTTGAATCCTCCTCTAATGTAGCGATAATCCATTTCGGACGATGAMTCAATGATTGCGATTTTGTGCTTCCGTACTTTAAATTCGTATGGTTCGAAACCAAAAATTTGCAGAGCCGACCGAGGACTGGAAAGTSGAGCAGGTATTGCACTGGTGGTTGCTGAGAGCGAATGCCGAGAGCGAGGCGGAATACGATAGAATCGTGGAAGGACTATCGAAACAACTCGACGATGGCAAAAAAGAGTTATGGGAGGCACACAAACAGGTCTCGGAAATTATTGGAGAAAATGACACCAACAATAGACACGAAAATAGCGAGAATGTAGAGAACCAGAGTACCCATAGCAACTACCAGAACCAGAAGCCCGCAATCAATATAGAGAAAAAGAACAGCAAACGACAAATCAACCAGCAACCGGAAGTGAAACCGGTGAAAGCAATAGCAGTGCCAGTGGCATCGTCTAGAGCCACGAGGAGCCGCAAGACTGCTCCCTCCAAAGAGCCTGCTGCCGCGATAACGTCAGAATCGGCAACAGCCAACAAGAGACCAGACACTATCCACATTGACATCATAGCAGGTCCCTACGAGGGAGCATTTTACGACTTACAACCAAAAAGTCGGAGTCATGCATGGATTGGAAGGTCTTCTTCCGCCAAATTTAAGGAACGAGGCATTTCTCTGCCACAGGATCTAGAGGTCAGCACATCGCACGGGCGTTTTGAGGTCAAGGGAGGGAAATTCTATTACACCGACGTTGCCTCGACCAATGGCACCCGCTTGAATGGAGAAGAATGCGAACCGAACGTGCCCTATGAGCTCTCTCCAAAGGGCATGACGATCTTGGCTGGACAAACGACCATGAAGGTGACGCTTTTGAGCTTGGCATAGAGTATCAAATACAASATTTGTATTCATTATATCCTTCACGCGAACGAATCTGCCATGACTAATTATTTATTTACCATGCATAAAATTTGTCATAAACAATAATAYCCCCTAACAATCATTCATTCGAATTCTACAGACGAGTCGAAGCAAAAATGCCTTCTCCAGTATTCATTGTTGATGTGCTATTAGAAAGGATTAGACCACTATCGTTCTTAGTCGGCCATTTCTTCTCCGTCTTCCATCTCTTCCACCAGTTTCCCCGAATCCTCCGCGTTCGTGAACGCCATTTGCTCTTTCATGGCTGCGTCAAAAAACTTGTCGATCGAAACGTCCTCTGACAATCCCTTGCGCCGTCTGGTTTTCAAAAGCAGTTCTCTGGCCAGCACRTGGGGCGGAGAAGGTTCTAGCGGGTGCAGCAATATGTTCTTGTCAAGGGGATCTCCGGGAACGATYGCCCAGTGGTCAAAGACGGCGTGGACCATGGCCTGGCCCTGAGTGTAGGTCCTCAGGTCCGTCTCGAACCCAAACGAGTCCAGCAACGGCACGAATCCGCGGACGTTGTACAGCAGTGTCCCCGAGATGGGGCGGTCCTGCACAATATGCCCCCTCCGTCGCTTGAGAACGGGCTGTATAGCGGCCACCATGTCTCCCGGGCACTGGATCTGGACCTTGTAGATGGGTTCCATCAGCCTGGGGGTTGCCGTCAGGAGTGACGAGTGAACGGTTCGACGAGCCGTTGGAATGATCTGACCCCCTCCTCGATAAATCGCCTTGTCGGCCAGGGTTACCTCCAGGATCTTGAGCTTGGTTCCACGAACGGGTTCCTCGCAGAGCGGGCCTTCACGGGTCGCCCACTGAAAGCCCTGGACGATGCTGGACTTGCATGAATCCAGCAGTGTCTTGTCGACTTCGCTAGGCAGCGTATCRTCAAGCAATAGGTTCGTCCCACAGGTGGGGGAATCTCCAAAGGCCCACACGGAGCGGGAAGACAGCAAGTCCCAGCCGTACTGCGACTGGAAGAACCGCCCGGTCTTTCGCTTGTCCCAGTCATGGATCCGGACCTTTCCGGATTCGAGGCGCTCTGCCAATCCGTCGTCCATGGGCTCGGCAATGAAGGTGAGCTTGTTCTTTTTGTTGGTTGTTTCGGAAAAGCACTTGAGGCTGCTCGTTTCTACCACAGTTTCCCTAAGAGCAACAGAAGGGTCAGCCACTTTTACCTCGACGTCCCCGTACACGTGCCTGAGATCGTGCAGAACGCAGTCCATGTACAACTCGCCCGTCCCGTACAGAACGTGTTCCCCAGATTCTTCCACCCGTGTCTTCACCATGGGATAAGCCTTGCTCACGCTRCGCAAACCCTGAACCATTTTGGGCAGCTCAGCTGGATTCAGAGGTTCCAGCGCCAGTTTCATGGTGGATTCGCCGCCGGCAAACGGGAATTTCAGGGGCGAAAAAATGTGAACGGGGTGTTCCTCGTCTACATCTTCGTCGTCATCTCCGTAGCCGCTGTCTCCGTCCTCTGTGCCACCGTTGATTCCAACAATCGTGGCCGTCTTGGCAATAGYTGCATCGACCCCTTTCAGCAGCACCCAGTTTCCGGCGGTTGCCAAGGTGACCCTCGTTCGACTCCTCCCCCTGGGAATCGCAATCGATTCGATGGTCGCCACCGACGTGTCCTCGTCGTCTTCACCAGGTGCGTATCCCTCTCCTAGGACCCGGACCCTTTGCCCCGGCTTGCAGGTTCCGCAGTAGATCCTGCAAAAGACATCAAACGACCGTCCGTCACTACTACTGTAGAGCTTCGTAGCGTGCATGATCAGTTTTTCGGCCTTGRCCGCTKTGCAGTGGACCATGTCTCTGACAAAGGGTGCATCCAAGGGGCCCGAATAGCACCGGGCGACCTTCCCCTTGGCGGCAGAAGATGGGGGTGGTCTACAGTGTTGTTAAACCAGAATAAAACACGARACGCAAGCACAAGGTAAGAAAGATCGAAAAGATTCCTCGTCCGCACACAAATTTATAATTCAACGAATCAGGTTTCAAASCAAAACGACTCCATTGCTACTTTTGCGAGGAGCAGGGAATGAAAGAAAAAATATGCGACCACAACCGATACAAACAGTTGCCAGCCAYTGTATTCCTTAACTATACCATATAAAACTTACACGTGCTTCACCACCATGTCGACAAAGCCGCAAGAGGCCGTTTCCAGAAACCGGGACAGGGCCGTCCGCAGCAGGGGCCGCGCAGAGGATCGTAGCTGGGCCTTGGTGAGGTGTACACCCAGCGGCTTGAGGGTGGCCGCCACGTCTTCCTCGGATTCACCTAGACAGGCCGCATAGATCTTGTAGATCGGTTCCAGGCAAAAGGTCACGAAGGACCGGTGCCGCTGCGGGGACGAGCACTCGGCAGGRTCGTCGACGAATCGTTTCGTGTCTGGGTCGTACCACCAATCGCCCCATAGACGGCTAGCAAACTGCGCRGACGTCAGATTCGTCCCGACCGACTCTTCGGCAGAGTGCTCGAGGTAGACCTCCGTCATGCTTTTTAGAGTGAAGAGCCAGCYGTGGATGGCGCTCGAAAAGGCCACGTTTCCCCTCGTCGGGGAGATCTCCGGATAGCGCCCGTGGGAGGCGTCCTGGATCAGTCGGTTGRTCGCTTCAACGATGCTGAGCAGCTTGAAGTAGGCGTCCCTCGGTGGGAGGCGAAGCTCCGTCACCAGCCGGTCCACCTTGGTGATMACCAGGCACACCGGCAGGCCCTCCGAAACAATCTGCCTGGCCAGGAGCTCCGTGTGCATCGCGATCCCCTCGAGGGCGTCGACGCAGAGGACGGCCCCGTCGACGGACCGGAGGGCCGCTACCGACTCGTCGTGGAACTGTACGTGGCCCGGGCAATCGACCAGGGTCACCGCGTAGGATTTTCCCCGGGTGTCTGGGAGGGCCAGCGTGATGGGGCAGCTCTGCAGGGACATCCGGCGGTCCCGCTCGCTCTGCGTAATGTCGGTGTACCGGAGGGTCTCGCTCTTGGCACTCGTCGTGTGCTCGGTGGGATCCTCCGAGGAGGAATCGAGGGGGTCCCACCGGTCCGAGGGTTTCAGCGTAGGTTCCATGAGCGTGTCGACCAGACTAGTTTTTCCGTGGTGGAACTGGCCCACCAAGGCAATCCCGCGCCTCGTGGCCGTGGTTTCATTGGACAACAAGTTGGACGTCAGGAACTCGTCGCTGTACAGGTAGGACACAGACTGCTTGCTGCGCTTGCCCCTCCTTCCTTCTCCCGACTCGTCGTCGTCGTCGTCGTCGTCGTCGCCCCCCCCAAGGTGATGGGATTTCGTCACAACGGGTTCTACGATGGGCTGGTCCAGGTCCATGGCGTCCTCGTCCAGGACCGCCGTGCGAACCCCCTCTCCGAAGGTGTCCTCGGCCGACGGGTAGTGCTCCTTGTCTTCGTGGAGGACAATGGCGTTTGCCGGGTCGGCCGTTTGCTTCGCCAGGGATGCCGATTCGTCCGCAACGACTATTGCATTGGTCTCGTCGTCGTCCATTCCCGAGACCACGGATCCCTCATCGCCAATGCCATGGTCATTKCCAMCTTCGGAYTCGTCCGAAGAATCATCGTCCGAAGAATCTAGTTCGGGTCCGATGTAATTCCCGAATTCGTCGTAGAGTTCGTTGTCATTTTCGTCGTCGCTGTTGTTGTTGTCGTCTGCCATCGTGGGTTCGTTTAATGGAATTAGAATGAGTGTATCGATTGGCCTTCTGCGGTGTTGCTGTTGCGATGCGTTTCAATTACAATCGTGTTTTATTGGCGTTGCGTCGTGGATGGTTTGGTCTCAGCTGAAGAGAAGGCAACTCGCARSACCCGCTATGGATAATCGTGATGCATCACCTGCTGTATCCCACCATGGTCGGCGGTGCCTTCGGAGTTTCGATGGATCCGTCGGGTGGGGTTGCTGTCGCTGATCGTCTGTCATGAGACCGGTAGGGCTGCCCGTTATGGACGGTATGATATATGATATCCTATGAGTGTACGAGTAGAACAAAATGGAGGTATGAAGACGACATGACTCAGGATGGTCATCAACRYWACRTWMSSTAMRMKAMWRRAC